GACACTGGGTCAGGCTGGACGTGGGGTGGGAGGTGTGTTTCCTGCAGGGGCGCTGCAGGCCACTGGCAGCAGGCGGTGGGTGGGAGGTGGGGGGTGACCTTCCTAGGGACCAGGCCGAGTGGTGGGAGCTGGGGCGCACCCTGCCACACTCTGCCGCATCTGGATGCCGGAAGCTGGGAGGAAGAGGGGAAGCGAAATAAAAGAATGCAGAGAACGTATGAGAACCGTGATCCTGAGACTGGGGCCAGAGGAGGGGGCGAGGTCTGCGTCTGTCCCCGTAGACACAGGGCAACGTCTTTCCTTACGTGCTGGTTTGAACGCCCCTGAGTAGGCTGGGCGAGGTGGCTCACGCCTTTAATCCCAGCACTTTGGGAAGTCGAGGTGGTGGATCATCTGAGGTCAGGAGTTCGAGACCAGCGTGACTAGAATGGAGGAAACCCCACGTCTACTGAAAATACAAAATTAGCCGGGTGTCACTGTGGGCTCCTGTAGTCCCAGCTACTTAGGAGGCTGAGGCAGGAGAATTGCTTGAACCTGGGAGGTGGAGGTTGCGATGAGCTGAGATCCTGCCACTGCACTCCAGCCTGGGCAACAAGAGTGAAACTCCATCTCAAAAAAGGCAAGGCCCTGTGTGAGGGACTTTGTGTTGATGGTGGCTGGTGTCGCTGAGCCTAGAGGGGCTCAGGCGTTAGGCTCCTGGGTGTGGGGTGCTCTCAGTGCTGCAGGGCCTGTCCACCCGTGTTCCTTCCCCAGGGGCCTGGATCATCACGGGAGGGTCCCACACCGGTGTCATGAAGCAGGTGGGCGAGGCTGTGCGGGACTTCAGCCTGAGCAGTGGCTACAAGGAAGGTGAGGTCATCACCATTGGAGTCGCCACCTGGGGCACCGTCCACCGTTGTGAGGGCCTGATCCATCCCATGGTGAGCATGGCCTCCTCTGTGGGGAAGGGTGGGTCAGGGGAGGGGAGCCTAGGACCAGGGATGTGGGTGAGGCCTGCCGGACGCTGTTGGGAGCTGGTGGAGTGTGTGGGGGCAGGGTGGGTGAGGCCTGACCGGGTGCTGTGGGGAGCTGGTGGAGTGTGTGGGGGCGGGGTGGGTGAGGCCTGACCGGGTGCTGTGGGGAGCTGGTGGAGTGTGTGGGGGTGGGGTGGGTGAGGCCTGACCGGGTGCTGTGGGGAGCTGGTGGAGTGTGTGGGGGTGGGGTGGGTGAGGCCTGACTGGGTGCTGTGGGGAGCTGGTGGAGTGTGTGAGGCCTGACCGGGTGCTGTGGGGAGCTGGTGGAATGGCTAATTTGGCTGGACTCTGGTCCTCCCCTCAGGGTTGTAGGAGGGGGTCCACGTGAGAGTCACTTGCTGGGTGGGGCTGAGCCAAGGGGATCTGACCCAGAAGCGGAGCTTTTAGTGCATTGAGTCCCTGCACTCAGGTCTCCTGCAGCCAGGAATGCCCCCGTGCTGGGGTGCCAGGCAGCCAGCACCCACCCCAGCTTCTCTGTCAAGGCTGAGGACCCAGCGCTCCTGTCTGTGATTAATTGGCCACAGGAGAAGCAGTTGCTTTAGTCTGGAGCCTTGAGTTGGGACAGATAACGAGTCCTTCAGCCAGGTTTTCCAAGGAGACACTAACTTTGGCGTAACAGTGTGAGCCCCTGAATCCACGTGGCCAGGACTCGCTGAGCAGGCTCCCTCCTCACTGCCCCTGAGCGGGGATTCACTTCTCTGCCAACGAGGTCGAGGTCGACACCACACCTTGGGCCCACTGCCTGGGGCGGGGCGGGGCGAGGTCGGGGAGAGCCCCGGGTGGAGGTCCCCTTTGTCACTCCAGATGCCCACGGGGGGCCCAGCAAGGCACTGGCCAGCCTGGCCTTCACCGTCCTTTTGTGTCAGAATCATGAATGTGTCCGGTGGGGTCGGACTGGTCTGGCTGTTTGGCCTTGCTCTTTTTTTTTTTTTAATTTTAATTTTTTAGTTTTAGAGACGGGGTTTCACCGTGTTGGCCAGGCTGGTCTTGAACTCCTGACCTCAGGTGATCTTCGTCGCTTGCAGAAGGTTGTGCAGCCACATCCTTGGCCCTCTGCCTCCCAGGTTCAAGCGATTCTCCTGCCTCAGCCCCCTGAGTAGGTGGGACTCCAGGCGCCCGCCACCACACCCAGCTAATTTTTATATTTTTAGTAGAGATGGGGTTTCAGCATGTCGGTCAGGCTGGTCTCAAACTCCTGACCTCAGGTGATCAGCCCGCCTCAGCCTCCCAAAGCGCTGGGATTGCAGGCGTGAGCCACCACGCCCGTCTCTGCAAGGTCAACACCACATTCTCACCAATAGTCTCTTTAAGGGCATGCAGCCGTTTCCTACTCAGAGGCTTCAGAACCCTCCCGTCTTCTCCCCACTGCCAGTTTCAGTGCCCCTTCCACGTTTTTAGGCGTTTGTTACGGCAGCTCCCCGCTTCCTCGTCCCCAGCCCTGGATCCGTTTCCTGTGGCTGCCATAACCAGCGGCCCAAGCCTCGAGGCAGCAGCACTGAACTCTCCCACGTGTCTCGAAGACAGAACTCTGCAGTTGGGGTTGCTTGGCGAAGTCGGGGTGCCGTGGCCGGGCCACACCCCATCCTGAGGCCTGGGACGAGGGTCTATTTCCCCACCTGCTCCACTCCCGGGGCCGCGGCTTTCTCCCGCTGTGGCTGCATTGCTCATCTCGGCCTCTGTGGTCCTGTGGCCTCCTCTCCTGTGTGTGTCTCCCGCACCCGGCCTGCTTGTGTCTCTGTACTCTGTTCTGGGAGGATTCCGTGTAAAGACTCCTGTGAGCACACCTGTGGTGGTGTTTTGGGCCCACGCAGACCCTCCAGGTTAAACTTCCGGTGTTTAGATCACATCTGCACGGTCCCTTTTCCCAGTGAGGCTACGTCCACAGGTTCAAGGCCCTGGGACCCGCCTCTCTGGGGCGGGTGTTCAGCCTGGTGCGTTAGGAGGCGGAGCTCTCCCGCAGCTGTGTCTGACGCTTCCTGCCGCCCCAGGGCAGCTTTCCCGCCGAGTACGTGCTGGATGAGGAGGGCCAAGGGAACCTCACCTGCCTGGACAGCAACCACTCTCACTTCATCCTCGTGGACGACGGGACCCATGGCCAGTATGGCGTTGAGATTCCCCTGAGGACCAGGCTGGAGAAGTTCATATCAGAGCAGACCAAGGAAAGAGGAGGTAGGGGAGCTTGCTTTCGAGGGTGCTCGGGCAGGGAGCGGGGTGGGCAGGTCACAGCAGGCACGGCGCCCGGAGCGTGCTCGGAACACGCCTGTTTCTTTCCTGTGTGCCTTTACACTTTGTTCCGGGAGGGTCATGTTCTCCTGTCAGTTTCAGCCAGTGGGAGGGCGGTCTGGGGGTGCTGACGGCTCACCTGTGTATCACCTGTGTGTTCACAGGTAATAGGCCAACCTACATTAAAAAGTTTTTTTCACACAGGGTCTGGAGTGCAGTGGTGTGATCTCAGCCCACTGTAGCCTCGAACTCCTGGGCTCAAGGGATCCTCCCACCACCCTCCCAAAGTGCTGGGATTACAACCTCGAACCACTGTGCCTGGGCCTGCAGTCATTTTAAATCATGATCATGGGCTGGTCTCAGGGTCAGACAGTCGAAACTTAGGATTTGACACCTTTTTCCTTGTAGGTGGGATGGGATGGGTTCGAGGCCGTTGGGAGGTCCAGTGTGGGGTTTTGCACGTGACTTGAGGAGGTTCAGAGAGGAGATGGTCATGGAGCTGTCTGGCCTGGAGTCCCTTGCAAGCCTCCTTGTGCATTGGAACCCCTGGGGGGCTCCTCACCAGCATGCGGGCCTGGGCCCAGGGTCCAAGTCAGCAGCTCTAGGTGGGCCGAGAACTTGCATTAGGAGCACGTTTCCCAGTGAAGGTGATGCTGTGGGTCTGGGGCTTCCCTTTGAGAAGCGGCCTGACTAGGACACGCAGGGTGGGGAGCTGTGGGTGTGTGTGTGAAGACAGTGGGCCTGGGGGGCTCACAGAGAGTCTGCTTCCAAGGAAAGGGTCCTTCTCAGGCTCCCCTGCTGTTGGGCTGAGTGAAGCTCAGGGTGGGGCCGGGCAGATGGACAAAGGATGATGTGCCGTGTGCTGCTCCCGCCCACACGTGACGGGTTGTGCACACGTGCTTGGGGCATCTGCTCTGATTGCCCATGGCCCCTCTCCCTCCCTCCCAAGAGAGCAAGTGGGGTGGGGGTGGATGCCAGCGAGCAGGGGAGGTGTGGGCGGCAGGGGCTCCTGATCTGCTCATTGCTGTGGAACAGGCGGGTCCCCTGGGAATGTGGAGTTTTGACCTTCAACAGCACCTGGCAGGTGCTTCAGGGTGCGGTTCAGCTGGAGCCGGAGCGGGCAGGGGAGAGCACCGGTGCAGGGTCTTGCCCCCCACCTCGCTCAGCTCCGTGCTTTTTCTAGGTGTGGCCATCAAGATCCCCATCGTGTGCGTGGTGCTGGAGGGCGGCCCGGGCACGCTGCACGTGAGTACGATGGGTGGGCGGGGCCCGAGGGGCTGCACACAGCTGCAGGCAGCTGATGGCCGGAAGCAGTTGTGCCAGCACTCAGGGAGCTGATGGCAAGAGAGGGCGGTGAGCTTGCCTGCCAGGAGACAGAGAAAGACAGCATCTGCCCCGGCTGCTTGTTGGGGGGCAGAGGAGGGGCTGGAGGAAGGGGCCTGGGGGAGGAGGCTGGGCTTGGCTGTGACCCGGCCATTGACTGGCATGAAAGGAAAGCGTGGGCTCCCAGGGCCTGAAGCGAGTGGGGAGCCAGGAGCCCCAGTTCCCAGGACCTTCTGGGGAGGCTCGGGGCTGACAGTCACACACGTGGCCGTGTCCTTCCTGCCGGATGGCTCCGTGGCCAGTCCCTTCCTAAAGCGCAGCACACCCTGGAGCCTGGGGGCCTCCTCATTGCCCTGCTCTCACTGTGGCTTTTGTGAGGCTGGGAACTCCTGGTCCATGCAGCGCCCCCTTTGCCTTGAGGCCCTTGCGTCTGCAGGTCCATGGGCAAAAACGCTGGGAGTGTTTGATCCTGCTGTGCTGACGCCAGAAACGAGCCGCCAGGTGTGCGGCCCCAGCGTGTTGGGACAGCTCCTTCTTGCCCCAGAGCAGGGGATGCCACCAAATAATAAGCGCTTCTAGTGGATCCTGGAGTAGCGTTAGCCAGCCCTCCCCTCAGCCGGCCTCGGAGGATTCTCCGTTTCAGAAAGCGCTGGAGCAAGGCAGGACCCAGTTCCGGGCTCACACCCTGCCTGCCTTGCAGACCATCTACAACGCCACCACCAACGGCACCCCCTGTGTGGTAGTGGAGGGCTCGGGCCGCGTGGCCGACGTCATCGCGCAGGTGGCCAGCCTGCCTGTCTCCGACATCAGCCTCTCCCTTATCCAGCACAAGCTGAGCGTGTTCTTCCAGGAAGGGTTTGAGGCCTTCACGGAAAGCAGGATTGTCGAGTGGACCAAAAAGGTGAGGCTGACAGCCCGTGGGTGCCCGGTGTGTGGCTGCTTCGCACTGTCAGCCTGGTGGGTGGGACCAGCGCATGCGGACCCACGCAGAGAACCCAGCAGTCCGAACAGGTGCCATAGAGATTGGCAGAGGGCGGGGCATGGGAGGGAAGCCTCTGGGCTGGGTTCCCTCTGCAGGTCAGATCCCAGGACAGCAGGTGAAGGGAGGCCATGAGCCTCACCAGCAGCACACCAGGGTGGGCTGGGAACACTGCCGGGCTCAGTGTGGGGTGAGCAGAGCCTGCTGGATTGGAGGGGCAGGGACACTGCTGGCCTCAGTGGTGGGGTGAGCAGAGCCTGCTGGATTGGAGGGGCAGGGACACTGCTGGCCTCAGTGGTGTGGTGAGCAGAGCCTGCTGGATTGGAGGGGCAGGGACACTGCTGGCCTCAGTGGTGGGGTGAGCAGAGCCTGCTGGATTGGAGGGGCAGGGACACTGCTGGCCTCAGTGGTGGGGTGAGCAGAGCCTGTGGGATTGGAGGGGCAGGGACACTGCTGGCCTCAGTGGTGGGGTGAGCAGAGCCTGCGGGATTGGAGGGGCAGGGACACTGCTGGCTTCAGTGGTGGGGTGAGCAGAGCCTGCTGGATTGGAGGGGTGGGGACACTGCTGTCCTCAGTGTGGGGTGAGCAGAGCCTGCTGGATTGGAGGGGTGGGGACACTGCTGTCCTCAGTGTGGGGTGAGCAGAGCCTGCTGGATTGGAGGGGCAGGGACACTGCTGGCCTCAGTGGTGCGGTGAGCAGAGCCTGCTGGATTGGAGGGGTGAGTGGTGGGGTGAGCAGAGCCTGCTGGATTGGAGGGGTGAGTGGTGGGGTGAGCAGAGCCTGCTGGATTGGAGGGGCGGGAGGCAGGCGCTGGGGAGGCCTCAGCTGAGTTGGGCAGCAGGGCAGCTGCTGAGTAGCAGCTTATAGCCTCTTAGGTGGGTTAATGAAGGCGTGTAGCGTAGCCTTAGGAGGGGCCATTGCCACAGTCCAGGGGTAGATTTTGGGTGGCCCCTGCCATGACCACAGCCTCCAGAGGGGGTCACTTGTGGAGGGCTGTGGTTGGTCAGCCCTAGCCACCCCACAAAACCTTTGCCTAGGGGGGTAGGCTCCTGTGGAGAGCCCCTCCCCTCCCTCCTGTACCTGGCGGTTCCAGGATCACCTGACTCAGTTCCTGGCAGGATTCTTTGCAGGGACTGGCATTGGGGCCTCTGACCCTTGGTCTCCCAGCAAGCTGGGGCCGACAGAGCCCTCTGCCCGTGTCTTTCCTGCAGACCCCGGACATCCGCAGGCTCCGAGCAGCTGACACGCACGTTCCACGGCTCCCACTGTGTTTAATTTGGGCTCTGTGGGCAGTCAGTGACTCCCAGCTGCAGGCCACAGGGACACACGTGTTTGGCCAGATGGGGCCTGTGGAGAGTGGATTGAAAATAAGCATCCTCGGGAACCAGGGGAGTGGGAAGGGCCGGCTGCAGTTCGGCCCCGTTGGCCGATCCGGAAGCAGAGGTCCCGGGACTTGTGGTTTGTAGGTGGCACAGTGACCCCGTTTCCTTCCGTGCTCTGCGATGGTCTCAGAGTGACCGCGTTCTGCATGGATGTCATGTGAGCGTTTTTGTCCAGCATGAGAATAATACGATGTAGCCGCGAGAGTCAGATGAGTTTGTGAAAACCTTGCGGTCTGGCTGTGAGCGGCCGCAGGGCTCCTGACGTCAGGCCGCTTTCCTCCCTTCCCGGTGCCGATGGGACTTGTCAGGCGGGCCCTGGAGCCCTTTCTCTGCTGGTTGATAAATTATTCAGGAGCTCTCAGCACTGAGTTTAATCTGCTGCTGTTGGATGCTGCTTGTTTTTAATGCACTCTCCGTAGCAAGCCAGGGCCCTGAGTGTGGGGCTGGGACACAGAGCCGCCCCAGGCCATGGCAGGGGGAGGCGGCGGGCAGCATTCCCTGGTGCTCCTGCTCGGAGGGGAGTGGCCCAGCCACACAGCCAGGGCCAGTGCGCGCCTTCAGCACGCCTCTCGGAGCCTC